TGGGAGTTGAGAAGAGGAATTTGGGCTTTTGAGGCAATTCTGAAACTGATTTTGCAGAAGAGAGCTTCACGAATGAGAAGCCAGAACTTGGCCTTGAGAGAGAGAGAGGGAGAGGAGAGAGAGACGTTATTCTCTCTCTTAAGAGAGAGACGGAGAGAAGTCAGTAGAGAAAGAGGGGCCCAAGGTTTGAGAGAAAAAGGTGCCATTTTCTGATTTATTTGGGTCAATAATATGTGGTCAATGGGGTTTATTTGAGTCTAGGGGGTTGAAAGATACAAAAGATTGGAACCCTATGCCGTAAGAAAGGTTTTTAAACCTTGGGTCCTCTGAGAAATTGGTTCCAAAAATAAGGGGTATAGAGAAATTTTCCCTATAATGAAACAATCTTCAAAAAGCATGCTAGGGCCATTTGTTTGACCCCAATTTTTAAATATACTCTTTTCATTCCCATAAACAATCATAAAAAGCAAAACTAAATACACAACCTAGTAAGTGTTTTTTTAACCCAATTAACATAGGCCGTCTATTTTGATTAGATGCTTAGATTTGGGCCTTGGAAGGATTTTTCAATTTTGAAAATTTTTAGATGGCTTTATTATGAATAGATGAACAATATTAAAAAAAAAAAGATTTTAGATTTGTAAAGTTCTAGATCTTGAAATTCACCAAATGGATGGTCTAGATTCATTATTAGATGGGGACCCATTTTGACCATACATAGGGTGCAAATTGAATTTCTTAGGGATTGACTACTGGGATGAAGAGAGGGTGTGTGCAATTTTGGGTTCATGCATATGCTACAAACATTTTTTTCTAGAAGGTGTGGTTTTATTATATCACAATGACTTGGTAACATGAAATCATTCTCCTAAAAAGAAGGTGTGGTTTTATTATATCACAATGACTTGGTAACATGAAATCACTCTCCTACACACACACACATACACACACACACACACACGCACACACACACACACACGCACGCCCCCACGCACGTGCACACACACACAATGGGTTTTGTCTAACAGTAAGACCCCATGAAATCCTATAAGCTACATATGGGAAGGGGTGTGAAATGCTAAAATTACTCTAGTTGCTCATTTCTTAATCCTATTTCTATAAAATGAATAAAGGTATTTTTTTCATTAGTAAGGGTAATGATAATATTTGCACTAAATGACAAAGGGTATGTTTGTAATCTCGAGAAGGGCATATTTGAAATGTTCACTAAAGGACAAAGGATTTTGTGTAATGAAGTACTTGCAACTTCACTTCATAATTACCTCTAGTCTTTTAGTGAAAATATCAACAATACCCTCTCTAATGACAAAATTGCGCTTATTTATTTTAAATCCATTGAATAATTTAAAGGACAACTATGGTGCTTTAACAATTCACACCCCTTTCTAAACGTAACTTATAGAATTCTATAAGGTGTTACCGATAGAAAAATCCATATATATATGAAAAATCCATATTTGTATATATATGGTTAACACCCTACAAAATCCTACAGGTTACATTTAGAATGGGGTGTAAATTGTTATTACTCTAGTTGTTGTTTTAATTATTCAATATTCTTAAAATGAGTAAGGGCATTTTTGTCATTAAAAATGATACTGTTGATATTGTCACTAAAAGACAAGGGTAATTATGGAGTGAATTTCTAGGTATTTTATCAATATGAATGGCCTTATCTTCTAATGAATATTTCTCTTCTAATGAATATTTCAAATATATCATTATTGAGATAACAAACTTACCTTTTGTCTTTTAGTATAAATATCAATGCCACCCAAGGTTCAAAAACATGGATTAATTTTTGGCAAATTGAACAAAATACCCCAAAATTTCTCAGGGGTATTTTGGTCAAGTTATTGTTTGAGAATTATTTTTTTAATATTCTTATTAGGTGCCCTTATGAGAAAAATGAACTCCTAAAATTTCATGTGATTTGGATTTGTAGAAAAATATTGAAATTATATTACAAAATGAGGTTGTGACCATCAGATCAACCTAGATGGTTGGGTTAACACTGTAGCTATCAGCTAGTGGGCTAACCTCAAATTCTCATTATATATATATATATATATATATATATAGATGGAGAGAGAGAGAGAGATGCGCAACCCCTCCCAATATTTTGGTTTTAAGGGTATATTTTTAGTGCCATTTTTGGGGATGTTCCTAAAACACTGGATCGAAGATTTTGGGAACATCTGAATCTAAGATGCACAATCCAATTACTTCACTCGTCAAGAGACCATTTTTATGGATTTTTCTGAAATTTTTTCCATGGGGACATTTTCCAGGATTGAGGATGTGTTTGCAAAAATTGGCCCTAAAAAATCATGTAACACCAAAAATGGGGGATAGGCAAACTTGGACACTGTCAGCTTATAGGCTAATATGCATACTCAAATACATATAGAAGGGAAAAACAGGGAAAAATAATAAAGAAGGTGACAATATATTAATAAAATAGTTTAGTTACAAAAAATGCTCACTAAAATTGAGGTTTTTAACGACATCCCACAGGCTGGGTGTTTCTATACAACAAAACAAAAAGAGGGGGAAGAGAGAAAAACGAATAAAGTGAGGGGTGGGTTAGAGTTGTGGGCTGGTGGAAGGAGAGAGGAAAGAGTGGGTACTTGTAGATAAAAATAAAGGGGGAGGGAGAGAAAGCGCCATCAAAAGCTGCAGTCGAAAATTATGCGCTAACCAAAGATGTACTCAGTCAAAAAAATGTGTTCTAACAAAAAATGTTGGCAATCAAAATGTATGCGCTGACAGAAAAATGTGTGCAGTAAAAATATAGTGCTATACAAAGAAGAAAAAGAGAGGGAAATGAGGGAGACCTGATAGGAAAAGAATGAATGGGTGACCCACAGATGGGTGCTTAGCGATGTAGGGGGAGAGAGGGGCACCCACAAGAAAAAGAGGGAGCTGAAAGACGGGTAGTCCACAAACTGGTTGATAGGGCTCATGTAGCTGGTCTTCTCAGTAAAGAGGTATTGAACCACCTGCAAAAACGTAGAGAGAGGGGAGAATAGGGAAGGTAGACACTAGAGAGCAAGGAGGGGAAGGGAGAAAAACAGGGAAAAATGAAAATCACAATAATGCACTCACCCTTGTCGGTAAATGTGGGCCGTCCAGATCGTGCAATCTAGGTTGTGCGGCCTATATTATTTCATAGGCTGGCCGACCTATATAATGATTTTTGAAAATTATATTAATAAAATCTTGTTGCTGGAATAACAGGGTTATTCATAAAAAAAATTTAACTAGGGTTAGAAGTGAGTATGAGCCTTTTTGGAGTTCAATTTTTTTTTCTTCTCTCTCATGTATTCTCTATTTTTATTAGATGCTTTTTGAGTGGTTTTTGATGGTTTTAACTTTCCAATGTATGGGGACTTGGTGAGGGGTCATTAAAAGCTTCTAGACCTAGGAACAGGGTCTATAAAGGAATTATATGTTCTAAGAGAAACCCCATTGGGTTGCTTATACTTTTGTGTTCCTCTCCTCGGTCTTCCTGGTTTGCATCACTTGGTATCGGAGAAGGCTTTGGGATGCTGAATCCACTGAGTTACTTGTGTCGGCATTTAAGAAGAGGCTATGGTTCTCATGGTCCCGTTGCCAACAATGAGCCAACATGGGAAGAATTTCAGGAGCTAAGGAGAGGAATTGGTGCCAGTGCTTATGCATCAAGGACAATTTGTGCGTGATTCGGATAGCCGTGAGAATGACAAATCCATTGCTACATATGGAAACCTCTTCAAACAATGCGTGGGGAGGCGACGGATTGCGCTGCTGCTTGTTCAAGCCTTCAAAGGTGAGGATAAGGGAATCATGAATTCCATGTTGATGTGGTCTTTCTAGAACAGAATTCGAAGCGCCAGTTATTGTCATAGTTCGTGATCCTACATATGACGAGGTCTAGATGAACTGAATGATGAAGTGGAGATGGGAGGTGGTAAACCCAGATATAAGGAGGCGGGTGAGAATCTTCCCTCCTTGAACATTCTTCACATAAAACCGTGAACATGGAGCTGCATTGGTAGTCAGAAATCAAGAACTGCCAACCCCACACTGTGGTCTTTGGAGTCCTTTATGAAATAAAAAGATTTGATATCAGAAAACAATTTTTTTTTTGAGGAAAAGTTCACTAATATCAGAAAACAAGTCTTAATATTGCAATGGAAGTTGAGGGAAAGATAAGTATGGCATCTCAGTATTGCTATATGATGGTGAGTTGGACAATCTAGAGCCTAAGATATTCCAGATTGACCCCAGAGTGGGCTACTACCAAAATAGGATTTCACCAGATAACATTGGATGATTGCACTAGGACTAGAAAAGTGGTTCCAAAAAGTTGAATACAGAAAACATTTCTCAAAAAAAAAGAAAAAAGAAAAAAAGAAGGTTAAATACAGAAACTTGATGAAGAGGTTGCAGAATGGTGATGAGTTCTTTTCAAATGGGGGAGGATTGATGAACTTTGAAAATTATTTTAGTAATTGTTTTTGGCTAGAATTCAGGGTTATATTTGCAAAAAGACTAGGTATTGGTAGTTTAGGACGAGAAAATTAGTCTTTTTGGAGTTTGGGTTCTGTTGTGTTTCTTTCCCATGTGTTAGTCTATTTTCAGTAGATACTTTTGGGTGATATTAGATGGCTTTAGCTTTTTAATGTGTTGAAACTTGGTGAGGGGATCATTAGAAGCATCTAGACTAAGGAAAGGGGTTTATAGAAGGTCTTTTATGTGGACTGAAAGTATGGTAGCGAATTTGATTTGGATCAGAGGATCTATTGGGTTGCTTCTTCTTTGTATTCCTCTCCTCTTTTTGGTTTTCATCAATATAAGAAAGAAATTGAATAGAAAATTAGTTGCTGGAACATTGCTCAGTGATATTGTTTCCCTGATAAATGCTAGTATTGTAGCATTTTATATTTCGATCTCCTACTTCTAGGTTTTGTAGTGTCTTATTCTGTTTCATGCAGAGGATCCAAGGATGATCAACCCCTGTCATTTCGTACCGCTACAGCAAAGGTATTTCATTTATTAAAAATTTGCAAGCATGACTAATGTTAGTTTCTTTTTCCCATGGCAACTTGAAAGGCCAAATTGTTAGACTCTTAGGTTGTCATACTTGGTTTCTTAAAAGTCTCTTACATTCTTGGTGTCTAAAAAGTCTTAATTCTGCCTTGCAGTCTGTCTATGAGTGGATTGTTAAGCCCCAAACCGTTGTTAAGACCAATGAGATGTTCCTTCCTGGTCGAATGGCATTTGTCTTTGACATGGTAAGATTCTTCTATTATCACCTTATTCTTGAACCTTGTACCTTCTTTCTTGTTTCGCCTCATTCCATGATATTCTAGCGTTGGATACTTACCAACATGCTCCATTATAAAAGCAATGCATATTTACGTCTATTTTGGCTGGGGTTCCTTTAATCTATTTACGTTGTTATACATGAGAGAAGGCTTGAACTTTCTTGATGATTTCTTCTGTATAAGTTCGTCAGAAATATACAGGATGTATCCACTGAAGACTAAAGTTCTGGCATTTGCCCAGTACTTGTCAGGAAGTTATCAACATTTTAGTTTCTGCTGTTCTTCTTCACTTTTTCTTTTTAATTTTTTTTTTTTATCTTTCAGTTTGGCAAAAAAAGGTTTTTGATTGGATTTGGTCTTCAGCAACTTGTACATATTTCTTTGACTCTCTCTCCCTCCCCCCGCCCTCTTCTCTCTCTCCTCTCTTTCTCTCTCTCTCTCTCTCTCTCTTGGTTGGAATATGGTTATTTTTATTTTTAAGAAACTTAAAATGAGGTTGAAAGTACTGGTGATTTCTTTTGTTCTGATTTCCCTTGGTTCATATAGATGCACTAAATGGGCACAGATACTTGGAGTAGGGATGTGGCTATGCATTTCCCAAAATCTAGGACATTTTTATGGCCATGAATATCCTGTCTGACAAATTGATGAATATGTAACATAAGTTGAGTAAAGCATAAAGATGTTTATTGACACATTGATACATGTGGATATCATGTCATAATGCATGATCTATATTTTATTCTCTGATTGTCTCCTTTTTTTTTGGGTGAAATGATGACATTGTATTACTGGAATCAGCTGGTCACAAAAAATTGTGGCAACCCACACTCTGGGAGCTCACAAGTTAGAAAGGCTATACAAAAATGGTGTCTATGAGAACACATTATACATGTCTAAAGATACTAAAAGAAAACCAAATCATCTCAAAAAAACTGGAACCTGACTAAAAATTGTACTGAAAGGGTTTCAGTATGATTGGCCACTCTAGCTCCTTCATGGGCATCCGCGCTAGAGTTGGCCTCTCGCCATGTATGTTGATAGGAGGTGTGAATATGGCTGCAAAGGAAGGAAATATGCTAAAAAATATGTTCGAGTTGCCAAGGACAAGAGGAGGCCCTAGAAGCCCATGCTATAACATATTTGGATCCCCTACAGTAGCCAACTGATTCCCCCAATCATGATTGAATCTCTTAATACCCTCAAGGTAAGGAGGCTGTTGTGATTGTGGTCTTTGAAGAGACCCCCAAAGCCAGCAGGATTGGGGGAGCAACCGTCGAAATTGAGCTTGATTTGGCCAATGTTGGGGGATCCCCAAAGGGAGGAGCGAGGAATTTGAGGAGGCCTGACCTCCACAAGCTCGATTCATTAAGGAAATGAGATGTGGAAAAGTTTTCGAAAGTTTTATGTTGCTTGGCCCAAGAAATCGTCAATACTTTGACCCATTCAAGAAGAGCCCCTGCATCGGCACATTTTTTTAAAAAATACGGCATTTCTTTCTGCCCAAATGACCCAAATTATCGCTGCCATCAACACTCACTGAAGAAAGTTCCAACTGCAGGTAATGGTGGTGAGGAAAAGGCTTGGAGTAGCTGCAACATTGATTGGCGTAACACCCACTTCAACTGAAAGGTTTGAAGCATTTCAGCCAACAAATTTATAGGCAATTCGCAGTGAAGGTGGGTAGTAGTTTCCTCCTCCACTGTTTTGTGCATGATGCATTTTCTTGGAAGAGAGAAGCCTCTTCATTGTAGTTGGTCTACAGTGACTGCTTTCATGAGAATCGCAATCTGGCATAAAATTTGGATTTTATGCGGTTAAAGAGTTCGGCCAGCCTCTTCTTGTTTCGTCTGTGGAGGAAGGGGGACATGGTAAAAAGAGGAGACCGTGAATACCCCAGATTGTGAAGGGGACCAATGATTTTGTTGGTTGGAGATAAATAGATTGGATGAAGGCCAGGAAGGAAGCAAATTCCAGGATTTCCTGGTCTAAAAGAGCCCTTCAAAGTTTGGGCATAACTCTTTTGAGGCCCCTAGGTCATCAAATGACATGCTACAGTAACTTCTCTGTTAGAGGACAGCAGGAAGTGTATGGAATCTTGTCTGTAGGGGGGTGTTCCCGTTCCATACATCAGACCAGAATCTGGCCGTATTGCCTCTTCGTGGTCTGAACCGATTATTGGCTTTGAAGAGGTTGAGGCTTAACAAGGTCGCCCAATGCCCCAAGACGTACAGGGGGAGTTAGCAGTGGGCAGCCATAGGGCTGAATCAATGTGGTACTTGTGTCTCACTACCTACTGCTGCGAATGGTTTTCTTGAGTGGTGACAGTGCCATGTTGCAATTTCTAATTTTGCGGATGCAAAGGCAACCCTTAGATTTTGGGAGACACACTGTGTTCCAAGCAATGAGGTTGAATTTGCAGCAATCTCCTGTTCCCAATTGTAGGAATTGTCTCATGACTTTTTTTGAACGGGTAGCTAAGAGGCTGGGATATGGATGAGTGACATTTGATATATTGGTAGGTTCAAGAGGGTAGCCTTGATAAGAGTAACTCGGCCTTGCTAGAGAGAGAAATCTGCCTTTCAAGTCTTGATCCATATTTTATTCATATTATATATTTTTTGTTTATATTGTTTTATATTTACTTTTGTCCTAGGATCATCTGTTTTCTTATCTGTTTGTTGAGACTAGTATACTAAGTGGTGATACCTTGTTATAGAACTCGTGCTGCATCCAAATATCAGACAGAGTCGACGAATGAATCAGGTTCATTACCAATAGGAGTATCTGGCCAATGCAGCTACCAAAGTTTCAGTGATGCTATGTGCTTTTTTGAATCTCCCGTGAACTTTTTATTACTATTTATAGGGAATAAGTTTCACCCATTGGATCTTGAAAAATTGGAATTTTATCCACTCGTATATTAAATTTTGCACTCAATTAGCCACATAGCACGCACTCTCTCTCTTCTCAAAACCCAAACCGTAAAAGAAAGAAATACAGCTCCCTCCTGAAGCCCTTAGTTGCCATGGTTGCGACTCGGATTTTTTCTCTCTTCTTCATCGTGGCCCTCCTCTCTCTCTTTAACGCCCATGCCCTCGCCTCCCCTCCCACCACCACATCTGTAGCTACTCCAACGTGGGTGCTACACTGCCCACAATCTCTACACCACCCATCACTACTACACCACCCACCATCGTTGCTACACCGCACGATGTTGCTACTCTACCCGCAGTAGCTGCCCCACCCCCTACCACTCCCCCCACAGTCACTACAACACCTTCTGCTGGACCACCCATTAATTCATCACCGCTTGCACCTTCGCACCCTGACTGCCGAGCCCACTACTGCTCCAACAATCGGTGAGGCACCAAGCGCCGCTGAGCAGGCCCCACCGCCGCATCATCAAGTCCCATTTGCGACACTGGAAGCCTCGACAATAGTGCTTTCTCCAATGTGGCTTTCAAGGCCTTGGTTTTGGGGGCTATTAGCGCTATTCCCTTTTATTCTAAGGAGGCGCAGTGCCCCCATTTTCTACTTGCATTTTCTTTCAGTTTTCTCTTACCCTTTTCCTTTTTACTATTTGGGTTTGTGGGTTTTAATTTTTTTTATCTCTTTCTTTGGTTCTACTTTTGTTCATTGTTGCTGATGAGGGGATCATCATCATCATTATCATCAGGGCATTTTTTCAACTATTTGGGGTCGGCTACATGAATCCTGGTTAGCCATTTTGCTCTATTAGGAGCCTACCTTCAGTGAGGCCATAAGTCCCCATCTCTTTTCTCTCTACTTCCAACGATGTTCTTATGGGCTTACCCTTTGCCCTTTTTGGGCCTACCTTTTGCCCTTGTTGGGCCTACCTTTTGCCCTTGTTGGGCCTACCCTTAACAGGTGTTGTAATGGATTTGCGATTCACATGGCCAGCCACCTAAGTCTACTTTCTCTCATCTTATCGTCTATTAGAGCCACACCTAAGTATTTCCGAATGTATTCATTTCAAATTCTATCCCTTCTTGTCTTGCCACACATCCATCTCAACATCCTCATCTTAGCTACACTCATCCTATGGGTATGTTGTTTCTTGACCGTCCAGCATTCTGCCTCATAAAGCAAAGCTTGTCTCATAGCTGTCCTATAGAACTTTCTTTTCAGCTTTATTGGTATATGGCAAACACATAAAACTCCGGTTGCACATCTCCACTTCACCCACCTAGCTCTAATTCTATATGTGACATCTTCTTCAATCTCTCCATTTTTGTGGATCTCGACCCAAGATATCAAAAGTTCGATCCTTTCGATATTTCTTGGCCGTTAATCTTAACTACTTCCTCGTCTCTCAACTTTTTTTAAAAAAAACTATTTCCTCATCTCTATTCCTATTACTAAACTTGCATTCCATATACTCTATCTTGGTTCGGCTAATTTTAGAATCTTTAGATGCTCGAGCATCTCTCGAAAGTTATAACTTTGTGTTAAAGCCACTTCCTGTCTCATTGATCAAAACTATGTCATTTAGAAACAACATACACTACATTATAGGTGCCTAGTTAAGTCGTCCATAACTAACACAAGGGCGATTCGTGTAATTCGTTTGTTTCGGTGCCTAATTAAGTCATCCATAACATACACCACACACCACGGTACCCCATCTTGCTGATGAGAGGATGATTCGTGTATTTCTTTTGTTTCGTCGAGGGCCCTTCTTTTGTATTAGGGTGGAGGATGAGGAGTAGGAGGTGGTGGTTATTTTCTTATGAGCTTTATTTCTCTCTCACATTATTATTGGTTCTTCTTTTTCTTCTTCCTCTGTATCATTTGGTGTAACATGAATAAGTGACCTTACATTGTTCCAAAAAATAAAAAGAAAAACAAATTTGCACCTCATTCGATCTTCTGCAACGTCTTCCCTTTGACATATTTGCAACTTTGTCTATTGCCGGATTGTTGAAAGTAATGTTCTTAACGCC